GCAGCATGAACTGCTGCGTCAGGAGCAGCCACTGACAGCCAGGGAGTGCCAGAAATAACTCCCAGAATATTTTTAATCTTTTTGCTTGTATAGACGGTACCCACCACTTACCATCACTTGTTTTACTCACCCTTTAGCAGTGCCTTTAGAAGCAAGAATCAAACTAAGCTGAGTTTGTATTCCTGGAGGGGCGTCAGCCAGTGTATCCCTGCCACGTCTACGGCTTAATTTCATTTTACCACAAAGCTTGGTATCTGGACTGCACAGCAACTGCTGAGGCAGAGCTGAGAAGGGAGTCATTTGCAGGGTCCTGGCTGCATGACCTGCTTTTTGTTCACTTTCTTGCTTGGACTCACTGAGTTAAAAGCTTCAGCTCTACTGTTGCTGTACATTGCAGCCGGGGAAGCTGCACTTTGCCCCGACCTGAAAGTCACAGTGCCAAATCTGAGATGAAATACAAAGACTCTCACAAGTTTCACCTCCCATGACCATGTAACCAGTTCCTTTCTAGACCTCCACCCACATCAGCTGTCTTCACTGAAGCAGCCAGGTTTCGGGTATTATAGAAATGCAGGTGTACTGGCCCCACCATCTGGGTACCAAAGATGGAGAATATTACTCCTTCCAGAGAGGAGCTTTGTCCTACAGCTCCAGGAGTGGGACAGCCTGGCTCTTCAGAGCAACAAGACAAGACCCTGGTTTGCACGAGTGCAAAGAAAAGCTTTATTTGATTTCTGAGCGCGGCACAGCACTTGGAGAAAGGGTGAGGGAAGCAGGGGTCTGATACAAAGAGAAGATGCGTTTCGTGATCTGCATAGCCACAGCACGTAAGCTGGAATCTTCTTTTGCTTTGCTATGCGAGGTTTGCAGCAAACCAGGCAGCCGTCTCAGCGGGCAGCCTGGGTGATCTGCTCACGGGAGGAAATCACTTTCCCATCCTGGACTTCCTCAAAGATTGTGCGGATTTGACGGGTAGTTACAGGTCCTAAAATGGAGAAAGAAGGAACCGTTATTTACAGGGAAGCAAGGAGAAAGTGTCTTAAAGATTTTCACGGGTAGATTTGTTATTACCAACAACTGCCTCAGAAACCCAATATAAGCACCACATTCCTACCTCTAAATACTTTATTATATAGTTTCAGTCTGCACAGATAATCTTCTGAAACATGTTTTGGTATAATATAAGAGTGGTTTATGTCAATTCACATTTTGAAAATATAATAGTAATTTTAGTAAATTAGTAAAAAGAGTCTGTGCTAAGAAGGTGGCAAAAGATATGACAGAGCTATGTGTGATCAGTGCTTCAGCCAAGACATGTTCTTACCTTCTTTCACAGGCTGTGAGACGTAGTGGGAAGACATGCTACAGGAGGAGAAAAGAGAAAGAATGGTCAGAAACAGGAAAAAAGTGAGTAGTCTCTAAGACAAAATCATTATTTAAAACCCCGCCTTTTCTTCTTGCACCAGTATGTGATTAAAATGTCTTCTGGAAACTGCCTAGGGTCAAAATGAGTGGTTAAACATTGGAACAGGCTGCCCAGGGAAGTGGTTGAGTCACCATTCCTGGACATATTTAAAAGACGTGTAGATGCGGCGCTTAGGGACATGGTTTAGTGGGCATGGGGGTGTTGGGTTGATGGTTGGACTCGATGATCTTAGAGGTCTCTTCCAACCTTAATGATTCTATGATTCTATGATTCTAAAATAGAAAGGAAGAAAATGCTAAGGATGTATGTGTGCTATGGGGATTCAGACATAAAGGCAGCACGCACCCCAGCTGCAACGAGCAGCAGTGGTACCTGCTCCTTCCCCAGGATCACACAGACACTGGAGGGATGGGAAGTGGATCTCAGGGATGCTGCAGCACTGTGATAACCACTGGGCTGTCCTAGACTAGTAGGACCAAAAAGGGAGACCCTGCTGCATGCCATGGGTCAGAAAATGGGCTCACAGGATCCTCCAGGGAATGCAGGTTGTTCATTTTTTATTTACTTCGCTATTACCCGTCTCTTCCCGATGTGCCCTCCCAAGTGAAGCCCCTCTACGTACTGGGCGTCCTCGCCCTCCAGGAGCCGGCGGTACGTGGCGATCTCCTGCTCCAGGCGGGATTTATGGGGGTGTGGGTTGATGGTTGGACTCGATGATCTTAGAGGTCTCTTCCAACCTTAATGATTCTATGATTCTATGATTCTAAAATAGAAAGGAAGAAAATGCTAAGGATGTATGTGTGCTACGGGGATTCAGACATAAAGGCAGCACGCACCCCAGCTGCAACGAGCAGCAGTGGTACCTGCTCCTTCCCCAGGATCACACAGACACTGGAGGGATGGGAAGTGGATCTCAGGGATGCTGCAGCACTGTGATAACCACTGGGCTGTCCTAGACTAGTAGGACCAAAAAGGGAGACCCTGCTGCATGCCATGGGTCAGAAAATGGGCTCACAGGATCCTCCAGGGAATGCAGGTTGTTCATTTTTTATTTACTTCGCTATTACCCGTCTCTTCCCGATGTGCCCTCCCAAGTGAAGCCCCTCTACGTACTGGGCGTCCTCGCCCTCCAGGAGCCGGCGGTACGTGGCGATCTCCTGCTCCAGGCGGGATTTGACGTCCAGGAGGACCCTGTACTCGTGGTTCTGGCGCTCCATGTCACACCGCAGCTCGGCCAGCTGCTCCTCCACGCTGGTGATCAGCCCCTGGAGCTGGGCCAGCTGGGTGCCGTAACGGGCTTCTGTGTCAGCCAAGGTGCCCTCCAACGCCGCTTTCTGCGTGCAGAGGAGAGGGATGGGCTCAGGGCAGGGACGGAGGGCAGGAGGGATGGAAGCACCCACGCGTCCCCTGGCCCACGCTCCTGCGTGCCCCCTCCCCACAGGCAGCCGGCCCCTCATACCGTGCTGAGCTGGGACTGCAGGTCGATCTCCAGGCTCTGGATGGTGCGTCGTAGCTCTGTGATCTCCGTCTTGCCGCTCTGAAGCTGCTCCGTGTTGATGGCCACCTCCCGGTTCAGCTCTTCCGTCTGCAACAAGGCAAAACCGTGCCGTTACAGCACCATCGAGCAGGCACAGCCTCGGGTCCCACGTGCCCCGCTGCGCTGCCGGCGAGCCAGCTCACCTTGCTGAAGAACCACTGCTCGGCGTCCCTGCGGTTCTTGTCCGCCAGGCTCTCGTACTGCTCCCTCATCTCAGCCAGGATCTTGGTGAGGTCAACTCCAGGAGCAGCATCCATCTCCACGCTGATCTCTCCACCCACCTGCCCGCGCAGGGCATTCATTTCCTGGCAGAAAGGAGAAACACATCTTCAAGCAATCCAACAATCAGCATATAAGGATGTTCCTCTCAAGACAGAGTTCTTCAGGAAAGATAGCGTCCTTCGGCAAGTATTTCTGGGGCAGGTCAACAAGGAGCAAACTGGTGCCTTCGCTCCACAATCACAAATAAAATAACCCAAATTCTCAAGATATCTCCATTTGAGCTAAATCTGGCTTTCTTCAGAGAATAAATCAGAGCCTGTAGTTGGCTTCATTTCTCAGGAGATAGGCCTTCCAGGCCTGAAGCCGCTAGGATTGTTAATAAAGCTCTAACAGCTACAGTGGACATTACTGAAATAACAAGTGGTGAATGGTTTTATACAGGCTCCGGAGAGGATGCGCTGTTATCCTGAATGCATCATCTCTACTTCCTTTCCAGCACTTCTCATCTTCCCTCCCAGCAGTTCAAAACTCAGCATAGTCTTAAAGGTTGGACCAGACCTCATATTTCTGGGCCCAGGCTGGACTTCCTTGAGCCTGTCTCTGTGCTCACCTCCTCGTGGTTCTTCTTGAGGTAGGCCAGCTCCTCCTTCAGGTTCTCAATCTGCATCTCCAGGTCAGCTCTGGCCAGGGTGAGCTCATCCAGGACTCTGCGCAGGCCGTTGATGTCGGCCTCCACGCCCGGGCGCAGAGCCTGCTCCGTCTCAAACCTGGGAACACAAGAACAGTCACAAAAGTCGCACAGGATCTTGTCCAGCCGGGGACAGAGCACCTCAGTGCTGCTGCTGTCACCGTGTCAATACTGCGTGACCCCGATGGTGCATGGACAACCTTCTGATGGTGAATGCTAGTGAATGCGGGGGAACAACGGATAAAACAGTGTTCATCTGAGTCCGTAACATCACCTTGAGCCTGATATCACTGGGCCTTGTTACTGGGTCTGGGCTTTGTTGAGCTATACACACACAAGTTAAATGCACAGCAGAGGCCCAGTGCAAGTTCTCTGCACAGGAGAGGTCGTACCACAGGGGAACAAGCAATGGGAATAAAATAGTGAAGTTTTGGATGGAAGCAAAACAATCCCTAAATGCCTATAGATTTAGATAACCTACTGCTTTGGAAATTACACCTTCATTTTGAAGGCTTTGTTTCCACATTGCCCTTTTGGGTTTTGGGTGGGATTTTCTCCTCATTTCATCAAACATCTCTGCAGACTTTGTTCAATTTTTCCAGGAAATGTGGCTTACTTGGTCCTGAAGTCATCAGCTGTCAGCCTGGCGTTGTCAATCTGCAGGAGGAGGTTAGCATTGTCAACTGTGGCCACCAGGACCTGGAGGGTGGAAGATAAAGAAAAAGCACTAAATGAGTGTCAGGAGCTCCTCCTGGCTGACCAAGGGATAGGAACACACATGAGACTGTCAGGACAGGAATAGTTTTGGGGAAGCTTGGGGTTTCTTTAGCAGAAGTGTGTATTGAATCAGGACAAGTGAGACACAGCTGAGACTGACTGCAGGAAGGGGCTGATTACTCTGTGACCTCCCTTTCCAAAAATCCTTCAGTAAGTATTTCAAAAGGCAGCATGAAGCTACGTAAGATGTGTGAGATCTGATGACAGCATTTGTTCCCATGCTTCAGGGCATGTGCTGATTATGCAAGGGTCAAGAAGGAATCCACAGCACCGTGCAGCTCTTCTGGCAGGACAGAAGGACCAGCAGGGTGCTTGTGCTTGGCAAACCTTGTGCCCATTTGTTCAGGGATGGATTTAATTTTTTGACTGCAGAAATGGAGCAAAATGCAGTGAGCAGGTATCTACAGCTTCTGATTTTTATATTACAAAACCAGGAGCAAATAATCTGCACTGGGAGAAGATTCAAGTCAGAGTTTGGGAGGACATCAGTTATGGTGCCAAGGAGAGGGAGGGAAAATGGATTCCCTGCATCATTTGCCAGCGCTCCTGCAGCTCCGGCTGCACACAGCCTTCCTTCATGTTTACTGGGGGCAATTCATACGTAAGAAGTAACAGAGAAGAACAAAGTCAACTCTTGAGTATTTCCTCCAAAATGGGGTGGTGGGAATCAAATCAGAACCGAGAGAAATCCCCCCAGAGCTGCCTGGGTTGGTGGGTTTGCAGCAAGCCTGGCCCTGGGGTTGTGACTACCAAAAGGAAGCGAAAAACTCATTACTGGTCAGTTCCATCTTTTTCTCTTTAGCATCTAAATCACATCAATACCGAGGAGCTGAAACAAGTTTTCAAATTCTTTGACTGAATGTTTATAAATATCACATCAACGTTTCACAGTTTGCACACACCTACAACTTTCCCTGCATACTCATTTTAAACTCTCAAAAAATATGCAGACTTGTCCCTTATTCTTCATTTTTGCATTATGTCCTTTTACATCTGCTTCTTCCAGTGAAAACCGCCATTTTTTCCATCTAGAAGGACGTAATCAAAAGCTGACATGGAGAAATCTCTGAATTTCCAGCCTGGCACTCTGCATGTGCATCTGAGACACTTTTTACGACATAGTTACTGCTTACTAATTGCAGAGGTAACAGCCAGTGTTTCTGCTTCCTCTCTGATAACAAGACGTCCCACTGTGTTAATCACAGCATCCTACCTTGTTCCTGAGCTCCTCGATAGTCCTGTAGTAGGGGCTGTAGTCACGGTCTGGACCAGGTCCCTGCTTCTTGTACCATTCCCTGATCTTGACCTCCAGGTCAGTGTTGGCCTCCTCCAGGGCACGCACTTTGTCCAGGTAGACAGCCAGGCGGTCGTTGAGGTTCTGCATCGTCTCCTTTTCGCCGGCCGGGAGGATGCCATCGCCACCTCCAAAGCCACCTCCAAAGCCACCTCCAAAGCCAGCCCCAAAGCCGGCCCCAAAGCCAGCCCCATAGCTACCCCCAAAGCCGCCACCGAGGCCCCCTCCTACGCTGCTGCAGTAGCTGCCCCCATAGCCACTTCCGAGCCCCGAGGCAATTACCCCCAAAGCCGCCACCGAGGCCCCCTCCTACGCTGCTGCAGTAGCTGCCCCCATAGCCACTTCCGAGCCCCGAGACAATGCGGGAAGAGACAGAGTAGCTGCCAGAGCCTCCGTGGACGCTGGGGGCTCTGTACCCTCCTCCCCCAACACGCACAGAGGAAAGCCTGCTGGAGCCTCCACCCAGGCCACCAAATCCCTTGAGGGAGGTGGAGGAGGAGTATTGCCTGACAGTGGTGCTCATGGCGAAGGCTGGCGGAGGCTGGAGGGCTGGAGAGAGACACCCGGCTCGGCAGCGCAGACAGCAGCGAGTGCCTTCCCTCTGGCCTGCAGCCCTTTATAGCCCGGGCAGGAGGCGTTGCCAGCACTTTTCGTCACCCTGACAGCCAGAGCCAAATTCCAGAATCATCATTTTTCTCTCCCCGATTTCACATCTTTTGTCACATCCCACTAGAAGCACTACGGCACACACAGGATCTTCTCCTTCTGCTTTAGTTCCCAGCACCCAGCTTGACTCAGACCGAAGGCTCCTTGCTCATGGCTATGTTTTAGCATTTCACTGTTGCACCTGAGACGCAGAGGTGCTTGCTCCAGCTCCACCCCGCTGCTCTTTCATGAAGTAACACAAGTGAATCCTCTGTGATATGCCAAGTCGCCCGCAAGTGTCTTATATCATTAAAAATCTACAAATCTATTTATTTGCTATTTTAAAAAGTCCAAAGCCAATGAAAGCTGCTGACTTAAGAGCTCTGCACATCCATAATCTTTATATGGGCCAACCCAAAGCAAGATGGAAATTTTCCCGTCAGGACCTCTATCCCAGGACAAGCACAGACCTGGCGGTATTTGTGTACTGATCCTGTATTTGGCAGAAATCTTGTAGCTCAAAAGAGAAGAAAGTCCAGTAATTTCTTCTTACATGCTGGTCTACAGAGACTGGAAAGTCCCTACAGCAGTGGTTTTTCAGTCAGTTTAAAAGGCAGATGCCTGATGTTTCCCAGTGGCACCTGCTTTGCTGCATCACCTTTCACAAACTCCACAGAAGCAATCTGTGACTTCTAAAAGATTTGTAGAAGCTAAAAACTTCTGTGCCACAATTTCTTCTATCATCTCATTGCTGAGGCAGGTTTTAATGCTTAAATAGTCTAAATCAGAGAAAAACAATTTGAAGCTACATTAGACACCCACTGCCAGACACACTACGTGCAATCCTGATGGGAAGAGTATGATCAACTCTTATCAGTGCTTATGCCTGCATGCAGATATGCTTTTTCCTACACATTTGCAGCTGCAAGACACAATGCTAATATAACTCAGCAGGACCAGCAGCACCTGTATCAAAAGTACTGATGGGCAAAGTGCAACACACAGCAGTGAGGAGCAAGAACACCGTGACCACCTGCGAAGCTGAGGGTTTAGACAGGACAACGCAGAAGAGGTGTACAGAGATGAGGCAATGCAGCCACCCCAATAGCCATGCCTGCATCGTGCTATTAAGGGATTGAGCACAGTGATTACAGTAATGCAGCTGGACAGGTATTAGCGTGAAAAAAAGCAGCAGAGAACCAGGAACTGAGACACTGCACTGTTTTATTCTTTGTCAGGAAAAAAAATCCCTTTACTGATGTGGCGCCAGCTCTTGCAGTATACAGTGGAAAATCTCACACCCAACCTGCTGGCCTGCCTGGCTCCACTGATGACATTCTCAGATAAGTTATTTTTCCTTATAGCAGAAGTGCCTGTGAGGTAGTGGAAGAGAGTTATAGGGATTAGGAACCCTTTTGTGCTTTCTCTCCTGTGGTGATCTCCTTCCTTCCCGGGGCCCCTCTGGCTGTTTTCACATTCTAATGCACTTAACTGATTTTGCAGTTGCTAAGATGTTCCCAGAGCCTCACCCTCGGTAATTCATAGTGCCTCCTTTCTTTCATCTGTTCCCTGAAGGACACAATAACAACAACGCTTCATCTGCATCGCTGTTAGATCTCAAGGACTTAATAGGGAATCACGTTCTCTTTCTTTAGCAGCTCCAGGAGAGGTGGTGTGATTTTTCTGGGCGGCCACCAAGGAAGCAGCTTAACCAGAAACAGACTCCAGATCTTCTTATTCAAGAGGTCTAGTCTCTGGGCAGCATTGTCTCAGAACTGATTGGCTTCAGATTTGGATTTTTGAGTCCCCAAGCTGCAAAATCTGGGGATTTGGGATTCACACGTGCCCCGTCCCTCAGAGAGCTGGGAGAAAGGAGGGGACCTGGGAGCAACCCACCGCTGGCAAATGGCAGACACCGCTGGCAAATGGCAGAGTGTGCAGATGATGGTGCTCAGCTTGCAGCAGAATCCTGGGGCAGCCTGGCAGGGTGACGATCAGTGTTCCTGCTGGCCTGCTTCCCTCCGTAGTGGGGGGTACGGGATTACCCAACAGCCATCGTGTGGGAGCTGTGCTCAAGTGCCATTCCTTGGCCACCCTTGCTCGGAGTTCTTCCAGATGTGTTCGCTTTGCTCATGTTTGCTCTAGCAAACACCCTCCTGCTCCAGGCAATTCCCATGTTGGCCATGAGCCCCTCATGTGGGCCAAAAACCATGCTGTGAGTTCTGTCCCCCTGATCAGGTCACCCCCACAATTTTAGGCCAAGTTACGAGTCAGCCTGAAGGTGATGACTGCCCTAAAACGAGGCAAAGCCCTGCCACAGCCCCATAGGCAGGAAATACCTGGATTTAGGGCTTTTCTTTCTGTATTATCACGACCTCAACCTATGTTTAAGCTCTTTTATTACAGCTAGCACAGGAGCCTAAGATGAGATCTGGAGATTGTCCTGCAACATCAGCTTTTTCTGGTCTTTTCTGATCAATGTTCTTGCCAGTCAGCTGCTGCCCTGACCTCTGGCTGAGCTCCTAAATAGTAATCCCCAAACTGGCCCCACTCTTGCAAGAGAAACCCTTAGCACAAAGTTCCCCTTGCGCAGGCTCTGTCGACAGGGCATGATTATACAGAGGAGCATGCACCACTTCAGCTATTTTATGTTACCAGAATTCAATCTCCCAGGCTCTCCTGAAACACTCACCCACAATAAATTCCCTTGAGATAAAAAACCCCACATCATAATGTTCAGGAGATGGTATCACAGTCTGTTCCAGCGAGAAGTATGCTGTAGATGCTATCTCTCCCTCAGGGGTGCTGCAGGGGAAAATAAAGAAGTGAACTCCTCTGGTTCACATAGGAAGGGAGGTGAAATTATACGAGAGGAGTGGACAAGCAGTGCACACAGTAACCCAGTGCGGTGAGGGCTGGTGTGAAAAGGCCAGGGTCAGTGCGTTGCATTTGCCTCAAACAATAGCACTTAATTGTGCTTTTAATGCAATGAATAAGAGCTAATTAGCAGTCATTGGGTTTCCCCCGTGGGCCAGCTTCTCCTGAGTGTCTTTCACAGCAATTCACAGCTCAGTAGAAACTAGCTGAAGGATGCAACCCTGGGAAAGATGTCTCCTGCATATAAGGAATGGCAGGCACAGGCTTCACCCTCACTGACAGGTTTGCTCGGTAAGTTTGAACAACACCAAGATGGGTAACAAGTATATCAAGGTGTGGAGTGAAATATGCTGTCTTTGTTTCTATCTCAGCTGCTGATTCTTTATCATCTTCTAGGACATGTCCTGACAGCCCCCCCACATTATCTGGAAAAAAGCGATCCTAGATCTGTTACCATGAAAGGAAACTTTACAGTGTGTGTGCAATGGAAACTCCCTTTGGGCAGGCCCAGGGCATTTAGCCATCAGCCAGCGGGCCAAGCCAAGGCTGGCCCGAGCTGCAGGGTGATGCGTGATGCTCACCCCGTTTGATCCCCTGCTGCCTGCTGCGCTGCCTGCAGGATGGAGGGGAGACAGGCAGCACGGCCTCGTCCCCTTTAGCTGTAGAAGGACTGACTGGAGGGAAGACAAGGGGATTGACTTTATATTGTCCTTCTCTGGGCTCCAAACTGGGTCCTGCCAATGGTGAAGCCAGGCCTTGCTCTGCCCATGGGACCCTGCAGGCAGCCTCCATCGGCAGCCCAAGGCAGTCCTGTGTCAGGGCCGCACTGGGCTCTCGACAAGCTCTTTTCTCCTCTCGGTGAATGTGGAAGAGGGTGATGCTCCTCCGTGTTGGCCCATCCCCCAGGCTGTTTGCAGAGCATCAGGAGAGGTCCTGGCCCTGCGTCATTTGGCGCTTCACAAGCCACCTCCACCAGTGAGCACCTTGCTGGAGCACAAACCTGCTCCCCGGCCTGAGACCCGCTCTGCCCATTTCGGCACAGCGTGTGCCAAGGCGATCCCCTTACGGGAGTGATTCCCAGTGAACCAGCACTGTGAACACAGCCAGTTCACACGCTCCGTTGCTCAGCTGCAGGAGCAGCTCAGACAAGGGGCTGGGCAGTGCAGAGCGATGCGGTTATCTCTGCTTTGCTTTGGGGATCACAGACCTGTCTGGCACTAGGTGGTCTTTCAACAGATCGTTCAAGCTCTTCCCCCAGGTCCTGCTGCAGTTATTCATCCTCGCAGCCACCAAAGCGCTGTGACCGCCCATCGTGCTGTCAGCTCACCCAGCCGAAGGCTGTCTGAGCACTGCTTTTCTGCTGGCATGTTTTAGCAATAAAGATACTGAATCACTTTTTGATCACAACCAGTCTCGTCTCCAAGGACTGGCTTGGCCCTTCTGCCCCTGCTTGGGGACAAGGAACCTGTTCCAGCGAGCTCAGCGCTGTGAGCAGCTTGGCTCCCTCTTACCCTTAAAGGGCTCTCCGGTGACATCCCGGCTCGTACGCTTCAGGGCTCAGGCCAGTAACAATACGCAGAGCCATGGACCAGAGATGGGGATTCCCTGGTCCAGAGCCACCCCGCAGCGGGTGCGGGACTGAGGCTCTCCCCGTGAATCTCTGAGTTGCAGAGTCAGAGGCATGACCAGAGAGTTGTTCCGGCTGGTGAGGGGAGGACAGACGGACAACGAATCAGTGCTTGTTTTACTCTAGACAAAAGAATATTTTTTGTGTCTGAGCAGAGCCAAACTCCCAAGCTATCATGAATTGCTTTAGCTCTATCTCCACAGCAAACTCCAACCTTTGGAGTTTCCCACGTTATTTTTTCAGTGTCTATCTTCCAGATAGCAAACAGTTCTTGCATTTCCTCATGTCTTATTCTGCTGGTGTGGAAATACGATCACACCCTGTCTGTTCATTCCTCTCCCCTCGCTGAGCACGGCAGAGCAGGCAGGGAGTTG